CTGGGATATTAACAACAAATGTCGGATGCACTTTTACCATAATACTTAGCTTCATCCCACAAACTAGCCCTTGCCCTAATTTTAATTCAAAATTAAAATCAAATAACAGCACACAGCTTTTAAACGTTCCCTTATTTGGAAAGGTGGCTAAAGCGAAGTGCAAAATTTAGTGTTAATGTCGAATTGAAGATTAGAAAGTTGTTATAAGTACAATTGCTCTCCTGATAGTTTTATAAATACATAAGTTTAGACTTAAATTTGTTTTTATAAAAAATTGTAATCAAAATAGATCATCCAATTAAGACTATTTACTCACAGATCAGAGACTAATGAAAGTCCGAATAGTTAAATCTGGGTTTAAAAAAATGGTCCAGCCCTAATTAGAACCAGTCTTATTAGAGACCGAGAAGGAACGATCCAACCCTACTAATACTATTAAGCTTTCTTCCATTAGCTAAAATGTTGTAGCTATTTTATTTATCAATTCTACCCATATTAGATTATAAAGGCACTAAAATTGACCCTATAATAATTTATTGCCCTTGAATTTAGGGTAGGGTTTTTTTACGTATATAAAATTATATGAAAAAGTGTGTAAATTTAATTGTGATCTATTTTATTACTCCGATGCGTCTAAGAATTTTTGTAATTTTGCATATTTAATAAATACACACATTATCTTTAATAGTTCCTAGATATATACCAAGACTATTAAATTGATCCTTATTAGTACGGAAAAAAAACTTTTGCTGTTATTAGATTTTTTATTCTATAGCGATTACTGATAAATTTTAATTAAATAAATACAAATGCATGAACTGTTGTGGTAATACGAGTTTATTATTCCGAATGGGCTAAGCTAGATTGAGACAAATTAAACGGAATTCACCGACTGTATTTTTTTTTTGTACACATTTTCAGTTTTCAGTTTTATTGGTTCTATTTCAAACAGTTGTAACATGAAGATCGAATGATTTTTGAGCACAAACTAAAGTGAATCATACAATATGATTTGGAGAATTACGTATTAATTTCCCGATGGCTATTCCATTTAACCGACATCACATTGCGTGAAAAGTCAGTGACAAATATGACTGAATAATAAAGTTCTAAATTATCACTCTGTGTGATGACCTGTAAGAGTCGAGAGACATCTCTATATTCACATAAAACTAAACAGCAAGTAAAGAAACATTAGGAACAGGTTGAAACTTAACAACTCAAAATTAACTTAATCGTCAAAACTTATGCGGAGTAAAAACCATAAAAATTTTTATAATATAGGATAATTATTTTTGAAAATAAACTAAGCGAATAATGAAAATGATGTTTTCGAATTTGAACCGTAATTACGAATAGAATTGGAATGATAATTTGAATATTGATCAAATTTATCTATCATATTATTAAGATATACTCTAATTATTTGTTTTTTTTTGTTTGTTTACATGTCAATTCTCCATGCTTAGTATAGTAACGTTATGGGTTCGATTACTAATTATGTTGCACCAAAAAAGGAAACAAAGAAATCAAATTGTCATTAATCTATATAGAGCGTTGGTGTCTGCATAACAAGTACATTCATTATTTCTTTTTATTCATATATATTAGTGTCACAGTGCATTATGATATGGTTCAAATTTACAAACAAACACTCTCACTTATAAATACACATACAGGCGTTTCATCATGTACTTTCACCAAGATGATCATCTTACAGGGACGACTACGATAATTATGGCAATAATTAGAACATATCTTTATTATAATCGGCTATAGAGATCGTTTAAGTTACATGTTAATCTGACATTAAACTATGTAAATCTCGATCATGCCATGCAAATTAAAATTTAAATATATAATAATAATATAATGAATGTTTATATACCAAAACAAAAAAAAAGTCTATATCAATACATAAAATATCAAAAAAAACTATATCATTAAATTTCTATGGTCTTCGAAATGTTTATAAAATAAAAATATAGTAGCTGTTCAAATTAAATAGAAAAGGAAGTTTATTGCTTAAAACAATAGAAACATAATTAAATGAAGAGTGGCACCATATTGATAAAAATTGATGAATCAAGTATTTTGATCATTGAAATTCATTAAAATTAGAATTCCCATTCTCATAAGCTTGATGAAAGATATTTGCTTCTTGAGTTCTGGCGTTAGAATGACCTTGATTTGGATAACAAAGCGTAGAATTATCTTGACAATGTGTTTGAGAAAAGCAAGGCGTAAAAGCATCTATGACCGAAGGAAAAAGACATTCTTGACCATGTGTTTGAGGAAAGCAATTCACTCCTAGAACAGTGTCGTAACAATAAGTTTGGGTTTGATAATAAGGCGTATAATTCATGTTGGTCACTTTATCTTTAGGTTTAGGACCACGTCTTCCACCTGGAGTAAAAACGCATTCAAGATTGCGTTTTCTACAAAATTTGCAGGGCGCTTCTCCAGTGCATTTTTGTTTTCTTTTCCGGCATACAGTGCATGCTACAGTTACGTAAGTGCGTGGTTGTCGAGAAGACATTATTTAAAATATTAAATTCTTAAATACAGTAAGTAATCTTGGCGCATTAAACATTCAATATAATATATAAATAAATTGCTGTTGCATAGATTTTTGTTCACTTAGTTAGAAATTTATGAAATAAAAAATAGTAGCGCATTGAACAATAAGAAGGTTTTTTTATATAAGTTTGAGCTTTATCGGAATAAAATGTGTGTGACAAAAATAGTTGTAACCCTTCGTGTAATGCAGATCATTTCTCTTTTTGGTAAAAGATCTTCAATTGGAAATTTCTTTTTTAATTCTATGGTACTAATCATTGGCTGCGTTATTATTTGGCACACAACCGCCTTTTAAAGCCTCAGAGGATTCCTAGACTACATATTTCACTACCCAGTGGCACCGACCGATTTTCACTGATCGACAATCAAAACAACGAATATGCGCAATTATTAAAATCATAAAACAGCACATTAGGATCAGGTTTACAATTATAAAGAGACTTATACTAAAATTTTGCAAGGAATTTTTTTTACTAGTGCGCAGAAGAAGGTTACATATATGAAATTTGAGTTACAGGCGGTTTTTTAAAAACGCATGATTTTCACGTTTCACCTGATCTTGTAACCTAATTGGTCAATTCGATGTCGATCAGTTAAAATCTGTCGGTGCCACTGGAGTAGTTCTACATATTTCGACAATTACCTAAACAAATTTAGTAGAAAATTTTTATGTTTTAATCCTAAAAGATCTCTAGAATTAAAAAAAAGGTCATCGAATTTCTTAGGTGATTATTGTTATCCGGCAGCTTACTATGATAATGCTTGCCAAATAAACCGAATTATCCGGCAGGTACTATACAATGACGGAAAAAATTCCATATTATTAGTGATACGGGACGATGCCAAACGCTTGGGCCGACCCGACCGACAAAATTACTCGGGCCAGTCGACCGGGCCGACCATATTATCAAAAAATTTTTAGTCAACGCAAAAATCACAAAACAGTCATATAGAATGATCTCCTATCGGTAATTTTGGTAAATTTTCAGTAATTTTACTGAACAAATTGCCATATCTCCAATAATTCCCGACAACCATGCTCGTGTTTTATGTTGATTGACTACCTCCCATCTCAAAATCCAACATTGCACTATCTTTTCATTTTAGGTAGCGTTCCCACAAAAAATTGTTCATCCCCGGTAATTTTGATCAATCAAAATTTAAGATCAGGTGTCAAAACAAACGTGTTTTGTTTTCCAAGTAAAAAAGTTACGTGTAAAATGAAAACCAAGAAAACCGGGTTATAGTTAAGGCTAGGATTAGAACAATATGGCGTCTATTAGTAAAACATCACGAGGAATATTTTTAATTAGGTCGCAGAAGGCGGTTTCCTAATTAAAATTTTGTAAAAAAATGTTTTTGTTTCGTTACACCTGATCCTGAAATTCATTGGTCAAAATAACAAGGGTGAACAATTTTTTGTGGGGCGTCTTTCTTTTATTTGATTCTGACTTAATGATGGCGGATCTATGATTAATTCCAATCTAATTTGAATAACTTAACCAAAAGTTCTGGCAACTTACATCAATTATCTCAGTAACTTACCATTTAAAACCTGACTTATCTTAGTCAGCCCGCCTGCCCTGTGAAGGTGTGGGTCGACTCTCAGCTGGCCCACCTGCCCACCCAGCTGATGGGCCGGGGTTGGCCTGTATCACTACATATTATCGCTGCAGTTTATTATCAGTTGATCAAGATGTCACGCAAATCAGGTTACTAAATTTTTTACTATGAAATTTGAGTGATTGACACTCATATGAAAATTTCGATTTTCATAATAAATTGCAATGGTAGCCTGTTTTCAATCATTAATTTCAAGGGTTTCATAAAAGGAAATTGCATTTGTGAATTATAGTGCAATGACTTAAAAAAAACAAATACTACATTGTGGTTAAATATAGAGTAAGGTAGAAAATAAATCAAAAAGATCTCACTTCTAAAGATAGCTTTTCATTTTATATTTTATAGTATTAGTGGTATAATAGAGCTTCACATTTACTGATTTATGAAGGTATTTTTATGTAATATAAATATTCTTAATGACTTTACTCTGATTTAGAAAGTTTTTTAACAAAAAAAACAAAGTACTAAAATATTATAATTTTGTTCTATTGTCAAGAATAAACTATGTATTGAATCAAAAGATTTAAGTAGAAATAAAATCATTACTGAGCCATTTGTACTATACAAACTTATAATTAGGCTTATTAGAAAATAGTTTAGTTATGCTATATGAATAGTTAACAATCATGTATTATATTGAACTAATAAAAGGCTGTAGTGTGTAAATTTTTATTTTTTATTGAAAATAATATTACTACATATATATATATATATTTTTTTTTTTTAATGTTAAGGTGACCACTTTGGGGTCTGGCACGTTTTATTAAACTTTGGATCGAATGCCAGGG